TCAAAAACACCTTGGATATAGCGACAGGACTGTCCAGACAGAGCCAACAGGAGCGGAGAAAGAATTTAATCAAAAAAAATTCTCTAAAATTCTTTTCTGATCGTGATTAAAAGCCTACCCCTTGGAGGGATTGCTTAGTTTCAGTCCTAGAAGATAGAGAATCGAAGAAGATACCATTCTTCGAAAGAGAAAAAGAAAAGAACGACTTCGATTTGATGTTCCGCGATTTGTGTGGCCGTCTGGGCGCTCATACATAAACGCTCTATTTCCCAAACTTCCTACCGCCGCACTATTTCGCTCTAGAGCACTCATCTAGTGAGAGATCCTATTTTTTAAAGAAGCGACTGTGAAAAACTCGGAAGTTATAAGAAACATCAGAAAAATTTGTAAGCAAAAATAAGGAAAGTCATAATTGTGTAACACACAAAACAAAGTAAATATTCTGAGTAAAAATCAAAAATTGCGATTGAATAGCATTTATTGCAATGAACGCAAGCTCTATGAAAGCACCTGTCATACTGGAACCCCGCTAAAAAGAAGCACTTCTGATGGCCTACCTATAGAAAAAATAAAGACGTAGACGTAGAATTCGTTTCATTAGGAGAAAAATATGAAAACCCTCGTGTCATCACCAAAACAAAAGCGGTCAGAAGCACAGCAGCACAGAATAGTTTACTCAGATTGACCAACGTGTTGTTGTTGTAGAAATCTTTCTGAGGTTTTGATGAATCATAGGGCGTTGAACCGAAAGCCAGCCTGAAATCGGTTAAGTCGCATTCTTTTATTTATTTATTTTTCTGATAAGAGTGGCAAACGTGTGAATAAAGGAAACCAAACAGCACATGAGCTCGTAGGTTGTATACATTTACTTATTTATTTATTTATTTGTACGCAGATAAACAGGTTATCCACATCGTAAATACAGACCAATGTTCGATGAGTTATTGCCTAATTCATCAAATTAATGTCAGAAGAGCTACTTCATTTGTCGACTCACTCTTGTAGTGCATATTAAAATAATCGAACGAATAAATAAATAATTGTGCACTGAGGCGATGGTGGTGCAGTGGCGCACTATACCACACCCACAGTCGTGGGTTCGGGTCCCCAATTAATATACGCCTAGTATAAGCACGGAGGCAAAACCTGTATGGTAAGCGGGGCTTGTGCAAAGAGTTGGTAGCTCTGTTCGAGGTATTTTTTTGTTTGGCCAAAAAAGGTGATAGTATCGCCCGACAGTTTTTTGTGGTTTCAATCAATAGCGATTTAAAACTCGACTCCTCTCGCCTAAGCAAAGAATAAATTGAGTGAGCTGCCTATGTTCGGTAAATTTATAGCCATTCGTCACTCTATTTATGCCACCCTAAACGGCTACAAAACATCCTGGAGAAAGGATATAATCTGAATTAGTCAGTCACAAAATTTCAGCGTTTTTTGAGTTACCATTTAACGGCACAGTTTACGATAATTTTGAGGCATGTCGTTTTTAGCCGAACGCAGAAGTATGGGTTGGGAGTAATTCGTTGGTAGCGAAGAAAGCGTGAAGATTCGCCGATTTTGAGGATATTGAGCCTCTCAAAAATAGAGAAATAGAGGTTGGACGAGATTACCACGAAGGAGGTAACATGGAATGGGAATGCGGACGAGATTTCGGTTGTTGCAATTGCACAAAGAGCTGACTACATGAAGCCAAAACGGTTCATAATTGCCTTTCAATGCCGCTATGGGTCATGATAATTTGCTTAAATTCCCTACATTGGTCCCCTTGTTAATGATAGAGCCTCTACAACGCCGTTGAAACTCGTCCACTATGGGTGTGGCATTCACACAATACTATCTCTAGCCTCTTATTGTGCTCTACACAGGACGTTTTTCGACCTCATGACAGCAAGCATGGTACAGGACAGAGCTTCGAATTCATGCTACGGAGAAATCTCAGAAATCATTTTTATCGTGAACTGTGCCTTTAAGTGCGTCGATATGTAGTGTAGGATATGATGACTTGCGGTGTTAGATCGAATTTGCAGTTTTATTGGCCTAAAAGATTTAACTGGGTTCTGCTTTTGACTGAAACAATTCACGGTTGTGAGGTATTGTACATCGATTCCGTCTGTTGCCGTTACCTGGCTCGTAGGCTGCTGAATTTTCATTTTCCTTCTCATCTATGCACTTTGGTGAGGGTCTCTGCCACGACTTGGCTATATATTTTGCCGACTACGTGGTGGCTAAAAGTTTTTCCGTTCTGCAGTGACTAGACTTCCTATTTTGCAAGCCATGTCAATCAAGCGATGGCTTATTTTTGCATAAGAGATAGCAATTATGAAGAGAAATGTAGAGTCCACTAGAATAGATTGAAGATAAAAAAAAAATAAGGTCCTTGAACGTTAATCAATACCGTCTGGGGGATGCGCCCTCGCACTCGACTTCCATTCTGAATCGTAGCGGAGTATTGAAGGCATATTTGGCCTATACAATGACTTGCGGTGACGAGCAGATATCAAGTCAGTGCTTTTCTCCTCTCAGACGAGTACAGTACCAATTAACCGACCCCGGAGGGATAGAAGGCTTGATTGGCCCGAGCGATATCGACCCGAGATTCGAACCCGTGACCATGCGTGTGCGGTAGTGCGCCACTTGCCACTACACCACATCCACCTGCTAGGAAAAAATTATTTTTCGCAATCTAATCATTAATAAAATAGTTAATCCTATATGCTAAAAATGCTCACATTTGTCTTCAGTGGCGCTGGTAAAACCACCTTGCTGAACACATTCCTCAATCGAAATCTGAAAGGACTCCGAGTAGAAGGACGTGTAGAGATCAACGGAAATGTGGTACGTTGCTTTTGGCATCGCTCATCCATTCCATCACATTTGCTTATCTCGTCGTAAAGATTGGCCGAGAAATAACTGCCATATCTGGTTATGCCCAGCAAGAGGAAATGTTCGTAGGCACACTCACCGTTCAAGAGTATCTATCGATTCAGGTAAGATTTCTGTCAAAAGCATTTTTTATGCTTTAATTTATAATGCTTCAAGCTCCTATTCTTGTGCAAGCACAGTTTGGTTTTTTTTTTCGCTAGGTAGCAGCTAACGATGAAACATTCAATGTAATTGGGGTTGATTTGTAGGCACGTCTTCGCACAAATCTGTCGCCGGAGAGGCGGGAGAAGCGTGTCAATGTGATTTTGGCTCAACTCGGGCTCACGAAATGTCAGAACAACCGCATCGGAGTCGCAGGTGTTCGAAAAGGAATATCAGGTTAGTAAGACCAATATGAGTTGCTGCCGAATAGAAGTCGCACTGTTCTTAGTCGATAAACTGTGAAATCATCAAATCCGCTGGCATCACGAATTAACGGTCCATTCCGAGATCATAGACTTCTGGAAGAGTAGAAACGTTAGATCACGAAACATAGTAATCTTGCACGATCCCGACTTCCCTTACTTTTAAGCAGCCTTATTTTTCACGAAATCAGCCGGTTTTTTTGCTTCATATGCAACCGACGCACTATTTTTTACTAACACTTACGCTTTTCAACTCAAGACGGGTTCTTCAAAATTATTGTGAAGTGGGCCTTTATTTAGCTGCACAATTGACTCTTTTTGCAATCCGCTCAGTTACCATGGTAAGGCTCCCGATGTCTTTGAGATGGTGAAGACTCATCGAATGCGATCTTCAGTAATTCGCACAAGGTGGATTGATGACTTCCCCAAAACTTTGTAAATTTCAATGACGACTGCAAAGAGGCAGGATCAGTTGGAGACA